GAAGCGTGCGCCCACAGAGTCCCGTGTGCCTGAACCTGGCTCTCTAGGAGGCGGTGCGCACGCAGGAGCCAGACCGAGAACTCGAGTGGCCTACCCTCAGCGTCAAAGCGCAGGACCCTAGGGGTCGCCATAGCGGAAGCGTAGAGGTGGATACTGCTGCTGCCGAAACCCTAAACGCATAGAGGGTCCGAGCAGGGCGCGGCAGGTTGAGCGGAAGGCGCGACGCGACGGGACAGCAGGGCACGACGCGACGGGGCGGGTAGGACGCGACTCGACGGGACAGCAGGGCGCGACGCGACGGGCTGGGGGCGACTCGACGGGAGAGGGGGGACGAGACGCGACGGGCAAGGGACGAAACGCGACGGGACGGGCAGCGCGACACGCAGGGGACGGGACGGACGGGCAGCGCGACACGCTGCCGGGAGGGGGGGACGGGACGGGCAGCGCGACGCGCAGGGGACGGGACGGACGGGCAGCGCAACGCGCAGGGGACGGGAGGGACAGCGCGGCGCGACGGGCAGGGGACGCGACGGGCAGGGGACGGGACGGGCAGGTGACGCGATGGGCAGGGGACGGGACGGGTAGGGGACGGGACGAGCAGGGGACGCGACGGGCAGGGGACGGGACGGGCAGGGGACGCGACGGGACGGGCAGGGGACGGGACGGGCAGGGGCAGGGAACGAGGGGCAGGGAGGCGCGTGCGACGGGCATTACGAGCGCTACGGGCACTTCGTGACGAAACGGGCAGGCGCTAAGGGCGCTACAGGCGCTATGGGGCGCTTCGTGACGGAACACATCACTAAGACTACAACATTTGACACTTCTCTTATCCTCCTGCTGTTACATTCTGTCAACCTCCTCGGTTGACTCGCCGTTGCTTCGCTGTAATTCGCCTCGTTTGGAGTTCGGTGTTTCAACACATCAGATCGTGTATTACTTGTTTCCAACAGTCTTCCCATGATCACATTGGTTGTGGTACCGTATGAGGGATTGGGATTGTAATTGGGTAACCATATATTTTCAATGCCTTAGGTAGGTTGTGAACCTGCTCTTTCACAGAAACAAACGCCATGACAATTGTCTTGAGGCAAGTGTTTGAAGTACAATCAATATTGCAAGCCAGGCACTCTCTAACAATCTAGTACCGTACCGATCCAACAAGGTGTAAGGATTTCATTGTACTCTAAACTAGCACAAGCACCACAATCAGAGAAAAAACCAGAGCCAGGGATTCTCCATACAGGGAAAACCTGCTAGCACCTGCACAACCAGAGAAGTTAAAACAGCCTGGTCAATTAGGCTGACAGGAAATTGCTTCAACAAATCACGGTTGGACAGTGGCTGTCACACCGCATTGGTATGCACCAGCAACAACGTGGCATGCCAGAGCACGTCCACGTGGTACTTATGCATCATCTACGCCACCTCTAACTACCTGTCGCAACATCAGTGCAGGAAAGAGCTGCCTTAGTAGCAGCAAGCGACTCAAAGGCATGGCTGTAGCATCCACACCCCACAACGCACCTTTGCCATACGGTGACACGGGGTCGGAGCTGGTAAGCGAGCCCATGTTGGCGGGGAACGCCACGTCAGTGACAAACATGGCGGTCATATCGGAGTCTGTCGTCTTGATGGCACCTTTAACACGGCTGGTTGTTAAGATAGCAGCCACTAGCACATCCGCGGCTGCTCTCGGCGTTCCATCATCACTCCCCGCCATGAGTCCATTCTTCTTGTAAGTAGTGGGGTCAACGGCGCCACGGTCGGTCCCAGTGAAGACGTGATCCAAGCCCCCGATGCTGGCATACATGAGCGCGCCAGTGACGTTGGCGTAGAGGTATATTGGCTGGTTGACCTCCGTGGCGAAGCTGAACCGCCCGCTCTTGTACTGCTTGGGAGGGAAAAGTATTCATTATGGACAATGGGACGATCATGCGCGAGTTGCAATGACGAGGAGAGAATGGAGTGCGACATCCATCTGATGGTGGTGCAAGGGACGCAAGGGAGAATGATATACTGTGCTTTCCACGAGTGGCGGGACCGTGACACTCACGCTGCCACTTTCCATGTCTGTGGTTGAGATGGTGCCGCGGATCGCCATGAACTTGGCGAGGCGCGACAGCGCGTTCTTGCCGTTGGCGGACATGCCGTTGAGGACCGACACGGATCCCGACGAGGACACCACCGTGTTGAGCGCCTCGAGAACCGGGTCCGACGAGGTTGTGGCAGACGGGTTCTTGGCCTTGTAACCCGTGAGCGCGCTAGTCCAGCCTTCGTTAATGGGAAAAAGAAGCGAGCTTCCGGAAATGTCATCCACCTTGTCGTATCCGGCGGCGAACTCCACCACTCCCGCGGTCATGCCGGCGGGCTTGCCGTCCGTGTTGGACGTGTCGCGGATCTGACTCAGCACGTACGAGAGAGGAACTGCATCCGCGATGCGTGGGAGAGTCGCCACCCATAACGCGGAGCAGAGCACGGCGAAGGTGAGGTCCCGCGCCGACAACGTCGATTGCATATGGGCCATGGTTGCCGGTGCGCTGGTTTTAAGATACGGTAACTACTTGGTGACAGTGAGGCGGCAAGTTTGGCAAGGGCATTGCACTCCAAAAAAATCTGCGCAACAGGTTTGGTCTGGAGCAGCTCCGCGGTTGGTGACAAATATCTCTTGGGCTGTTGGGTTCGCGACAGATCTAAGAAAAAATGGTCGACGAATCTGTGCAGTACATCCGTGCCTTTTCCGCCATGCACTCCGACGATGGAACGATGGCTCCCATCCCATCCCTGCCATTGGTGGCTTTGCGTAGCTGGAATTGCGTTCACTGAGCTCTCGCTGACAGCTTGCAATGACCGTGTTGACCTCATCGTCCCTCACCCTTGCCTTCTCCGCCATGTACTGAACTTGAGATGAGATTGGTGCCGTAATTCACTCGTGAGGGAAATCCAATTTTGAATCTGTACCGCAGATCGCAGTAATCTCAAAGGTACCTACCGCAATCCCAACCGTTCGAAACACGTGTCGTCCGCTTCTGAGATGGGAACAAACAGCCGCAGCGCAAGTAAATCTTGCGTGTGGATGTGCAAATGGGTTGGATGGGATGAAAATGTTGATTTTGTGCGAAACGATTTCGCGTGTGCGAATTGACGACAGGGTTGGCGAAGTTCTCATCCCTTGCAACCCGCCTGGGCCGTCGAAGCCCAACCCTAATCTGCGTTAGACAAATCGTCTCTGTCTTGATTCAGAAAGTAAGACGCTAGCTACTCGCCGCAATTATCGCGAAAGCGCATTCGCCGCAAACATTACGAAGGTTACGGGGAACTAGTCAGTGTGGTCGCGAAGGTGAGCGAAGCCACCTCACCACGGAGCGCCTCAAGTCGTCGCGCCTCCCCTCCCCTGGTCGCTCCCCCCTTGGTCGCGCTTCCCCTCCCATCGTTGCGCTGCCACCCCTCGTGAAGCCTCTCCTCCCTTCGTCGCAACAGCACCATCGTTACGCCGAGTCCTCGTCGCGCTTACCCCCACCCTTCCCCTTCGTAGCGCCTCCCCTCCTTTCGTTGCGCCTCCCCTCGTCGCGCTTCCCCTCCCCTTGTCGCGAATCCCATCCCCTCGTCGCGCCTCCCCTCCCCTCAACGCGCCAGCACCCCCATCGCGCTACCCTCTTCGCGTCTCCTCTCCCATCGCCCTTCTCTCACCTGCCCATCCCTTGCCTTCCCTGCCCTGCCATTCCCTCTTGTTACGTTCCCTACATCCCTCCATGGCTGGAAGGATCTCTATTTACATTTTCTCACATCCCCCCCACAGCCTACTTCTCCTCGCTTCTCCTCCTGCTTCCACGCATTTCCCCCCTGATTCCCGTCAATCACCCCCTGCTTCCCCTCATTTCTTGCTTCCCCTGATTTTTTCCCGTTCTTCCCCTCTTTCCCCCACTGCTTCCCCCCCCCCCCTGCTTCCCCTAATTTTCACCTCTGATTCTCCTAATCTCTCCCCCCCTCCTCTTGTTTCCCCTCATTTCCCCCCTTGAATCCCCTGATTTCTCCCTTGCTTCCCCCCATTTCCCCTCCTGCTTCCCCTTATTTCCCCCCTGCTTCCCCTGTCCCCCCACCCCCCCCTCTGTCTTCCCTCATTTCCCCCCTTTCTTTCCCTGATTTCCCCCCTTACTTCCCCTCATCCCCCCACCCCCTGCTTCCTGTCATTCCCCCCGCTGCTTCCCCTGATTCCCCCCCTGCTTTCCCTTATTTCCCCTCTTCCCCTCATTTCCGCTCCTGCTTTCCCTCACTTCCCCCCCTGCTTCCCCTCATTTCCCCCTCTGTGTCCCCTCATTTCTCGCTTCCCCTCCCTTCTTTCCCTCATTTCCCTTGCTGCTTCCCCTGATTCTTTCTCTCTTCCCCTCGTCTCGCCCCCTGCTTCCCCTCATCCCCCCTCCAGCTTCCGCTCTTCTTACCCTCAAATTTTCCGCTACTTCCCCTCACTTTCCCAGTCCGAGACTTTACCGCTTACCATCTCCCAACTCTTCCAATCTCCTCCCTTCCCTCTCTCCCCTCTTCCCTCGCTCCCCTCTTCCCTCTCTCCCCTCTTCCCTCTCTCCCCTCTTCCCTCGCTCCCCTCGTCCCTCTCTCCCCTCGTCCCTCTCTCTCCTCTACCCTCTCTCCCCTCTTCCCTCTCTCCCCTCTTCCTTCTCTCCCCTCTTCCCTCTCTCCCCTCTTCCATCTCTCCCCTCTCCCCTCTTTCCCTCCCCTTCCCTGTATCTCCTCTTCCCTCTCTCATCCCTTCTTTACCCTATGCCCCTCTCCCTAACTCCTCCCATCCCTCTCCCCTCTCTTCTCGTCCCCCCCAGGTTTCAGAGGTTGAGGGATGTCCAAACGCACGACCACGGGTTCATGCCTAGCGTGATATACAGCGCGTAAGCGTTGACCTGAATCGGCGCATGTTGTTCACACTGAAGATCCCGTCGTCACACGGGGCTCGTGCAGATGTCCTTAGGCAGGGCTTCTCCCCTGGCGCCGAGCCGAGCGTGTCTCCCGCCGCGCGCTGGGATGGCGGGCAGCAGTGCGTGCTGCACGAGGTGACTCGCTTCCACACCCTCGCTGCCATCCCCATCCGCTATGCCGCCCAGGTGCGCTACGCCTCGCTCTCCTCGTGCCCCACTTAAATATTCTCGTCGTTACCGCTGTGTCTCGTGTGTTTCCCTCACCTCTGCCTTTCTGCGCGGAACTAAAGCATTGCTCTCCGCTGCTATCAGTCCGATGATCTTTGTCTCTCGCATCTCGCTGTAGAAGGTTCTACTCCTGCAAGAGCTGTGTTTGGCCTTCCCGAACACCCACATGCCACATGAGCACGCAGTCAGTGCGTCGCATCGCAGCATGCTCGCGTCAGTCTGTGCAAGATGCTTCCTCACCCGCCCTCCCGCCGTCTAGCATGCCCGCCTCGTGTGCACCTCGTCACTCTCCTTCCCGCCGATCCTTCCCAAGCGCACGTCCATTTTCTGCATCGAATCGAATCATTTCATGCACGCATCCTGTGTCCATCCCTCCACACTCATGTGCTGCCCACCGTGCGCGGTGTGTGCGAGCAGGTGTGTGGCGAGCAGGTGGCGGGCATCAAGAAGGCGAACCGCATTTCGGCGGATCCGCAGATGTTCGTCTCTAGTCCATATCTCCCTCCTTTCATATCTCCTTCCTGTCACATTCTCCCCCTTCTCTGTCCACGGGATTCCATGGTGTGCCATCACACCATGTTCTTTAATCATTACCTTTTTCTCATTCCCCCTTCCCCCTCCCTTGGGTTCTCTTCGCCCCCCTTATTATTTCAGTGGCTGCTCTGAAGATCTTTCAAGCTGTTCACCCACCCTCCCATGACATGGTCGTTGAGTGTCAAAGCAGCTGGTAAACTCTTAGAGAAAGGTTCAATAGTATGGGTGGGTTGGGTATTGCTCCTCTTGGCCTTAGGGAGCAATCAAAGTGAATTGAGAACAATTATCCATGCATCAATTTTACTGATGAGATCCGGGTACAGAGTGGTCATTGTGATGCATCTCTCTAACATTACAACAACACAGAACGAAGGTGCGGTGAACCATTCACTTGCTTAATCAACTCCGTTGTTCCTCAGAACTTTTAATGATTTGCCATAACGTGTGTTACTGTATGGTTCCCAGATCGTACCATTAACGGTGAGGAAGTTTCAGCACGCTGATCTTGCTGGCGTGGCTGCTCTGCCGCTCTGCCAACCAACTTCCCTACCACTTGACGTCGTGGCGACCCCTCAATCCTCAGAAGTTCAATCTGCCACGTCAACCGTGGTCAGGTTTGGCGTGGCATTGTTTCGACGAAGCATCTTTCGAACGAGCGGCTGGTGGAAGAAATGTCGTCGTCGGCGAAATGTGTCGTGCGGCCCAGCAAGCGAATAATGTGTTTTCGATGTAAGCTAATTTCGCAGCGTCGCAACAGCGGTCGCCATTCTCGGAGTTCGTCGCTTGCAATCTGCAAGTAGGCATCGCCTCGCCTGCCCTGCTCCCCCCACTGCCGCAATCTAAAAATACCTCCCCACATAACCCTTCATCCCACTCGTCCGTCGTTTCTCTGCTTCCGCACAATCCACCACACACTCATTTGAGCGAGCCAAGGTACCACCGCAATACGTTCGGGTGTCCAGCCATTGACTATGTCGCTCGTTTCGTTGAAACCCGCGTTGCGGCTGGTTACCCGACCGGACACCATCACTCAACCTCTCTCTGCTAACCAGCGCCTGTCGACCGGCGCTTCAACTGTTACATGTCAAGCTAGTACCGAATTCGCGAATGCCGCGACACTTCGCGAACCCGTGCGAACACAAGCCGCGGATTCCATCTCGAGTACCCGCAACGTTACGTCTAACCCGAACGATGACGTCAGCGTGACGAGACGCGCCGTGCTCGCGTCACTCGCATTGCTGCCCGCGCTGGATTCGTTCTTCGGCTCCGGAAACGGCGGCGCTGACGTGGCATTGGCGCGGGAAAGGCGGACGAGGATCGACATTCCAGAGGAGATGTACCAAGAGGGCGGTGAGTGCGGAGGGCGGTGAGTGCGGAGGGCGGTGAGTGCGGAGGGCGGTGAGTGCGGAAGGCGGTGAGTGCGGAGGGCGGTAGGGCGAGAGGCGTCTGAGGGACGGTGGATATTTCGGTGCTTTCGGGGTTGCTTCACTCGCCCACCGGTCCGTGCGGCCATCCCAGCGCTGCTGTCCGCCCTCTAGAGTAGCGCCAACAGGCGCAGCACACGCGCCACGCGCGGGACAATAATTCCCTCCCCTCCCGTCCTCCTCCCCTCCCCTTTTTCTCCTCCCTCCCTCCCCCATTCCTTTCTTCTCCGCCCCCTCAACCTCCTCCCCCCCTTCTTCCCTCCCCCCCCCCTCCCCACTCCGGTGTGCGTGTGCGGCAGAGGGCGGGTTGCGCTTCTACGACGTGGCGGCGGGCAAGGGCAGGCTGGCGGAGCAAGGCGACCCTGTCGTGGTGAGAGGGGGGGGAAGGGGGGGTGGGGGGAGGATGGGATGATTGGGCGAGGAGGGGGAGGTGGGGGGATGGTGCGAGTGGGGAGGGAGGAGGAGGATTGGGCTTGCGCCACTGCTGCCCCGCTCATGCAAGTGTCGCCATGCTGCCCCGCTTGCAAGTGTCGCCATGCTGCCCCGCTTGCAAGTGTCGCCATGCTGCCCCGCTTGCAAGTGTCGCCATGCTGCCCCGCTTGCAAGTGTCGCCATGCTGCCCCGCTTGCAAGTGTCGCCATGCTGCCCCGCTTGCAAGTGTCGCCATGCTGCTCCGGGACACGCAAACCAACGTTGCATGTGGGCCACTGCTCACTCCCCTTGGCCCCATTGCTCCACGCTGATCCCTCCTTGCACACTGCCCTGCCGTGCCATGCCCTGCCGTGCCATGCCCTGCCCACTTTCTGCTTTTCCATACCCACCCTCCCGACTCTCTCCTCCGCCCGTCCCCCTTCCCCACAATTCTCTTCCCCACCCCCTCTCTCCTCTCCCCTTCCCCCCTCCCAGCCCTCCCCCTTCCACACTCCCCCCTCCCCCACCCCTCCTCCCAGGTGCACTTTGACGTGACGTCCCACCCTGCTCTCCTCCGCCCGTCCCCCTTCCCCACAATTCTCTTCCCCATCCCTTCCCCCCACCTCCCTCCCAGGTGCACTTTGACGTGACGTATCGCAGCCTCACGGTGGTGTCCAGCCGCCAGTCCAAGCTGCTGGGCGGCAACCGCGTCATCTCCCAGGTGCGTCATCTCCCAGGTGCGCTGCCCAACCGTGTGGCAGAATCGTGTGTCAAACTGGTCGGTGAGTGTCATAGTTGGCAAGCAACGGAATCACTACTCTACTGCAATGCAATGCACTGCAATGCAATGCACTGCAGTGCAATGCACTGCAATGCAATGCACTGCAATGGAATGCACTGCAATGCAATGCACTGCAGTGCAATGCACTGCAATGCAATGCAATGCACTGCAGTGCAATGCACTGCAATGCAATGCACTGCAATGCAATGCACTGCAATGCAATGCACTGCAGTGCAATGCACTGCAATGCACTGCACTGCAATGCAATGCACTGCAATGCACTGCACTGCAATGCACTGCACTGCACCCACCCTGCTCTCTCGCTCTTATTCCTTGCACTCCTCCCTCCTGCGCATGACCCTCTGCCTGGGAGTAAAGCATTGGGCGATGCGGGGACGTCCACTGCACTCACCCTACTTGCTCTCACCCACTTCCCACCTCTCCCCCCACACCCCCCCACTACGCCTCGACCCGGCCGTGCTGTATGAGTTGGGCCGGGTCGCCATGCCCATTACGCACTCTCCAATTCCACCTCGGACGTACAGAGCATTCAAACTGGCTATCTAAAGCCCACAGCAGTGCGTACCTATCCGGGCTCACGCCTCCATGTTGGGGTTCGTTTCGTTGTCTTCAACACGCATACCTGTCCACCTGATGGGGTCATATCCATCAGCAGTGCTTACCTACTAAAGTTGATGGGATCAAGGCCTCCGCAGCCCACCTGTCCATTGTCGACAAGTTGCACAATAGTCCTCTCCACTCGCCAATATCACTCCATGCACTTTTCCCTCATTCCACTCCTCTCTTCCCCCCAGTTACGTACGAGTATTTTTTAGGCGCAAAGCCAGGAGTGGGGAGGAGACAGGAAATCACAGTCCCCTTCAAATCACAGTCCCCTTCAAATCACAGCCCCCGTTAATCACAGTCCCCTTTTATCACAGCCCCCTTTAAACACAGTCCCCTTCAATCACAGCCCCCTGTAATCACAGTCCCTTCGCTCACTGGGCTCACTCACTCTTATAACCTCCCCATCTCATCCCCCCTCCCCCCCACACACTTCTCCTTCCAGCCGTACGAGTTGTCCTTGGAAGCCAAGCGCGGAGCGGGGAGGCCCAAGGACAATGGAAGCCCACGCCACTCACGCTACTCGCTCCTATGCACTTCTCTCCCCCCTCTCCCACATCCCCTTCCCACCCCAACCCACCCCGCTCCCAACAGCCATACGAGTTCTCCCTGGGTGCCAAGCTGGGAACAGAGAGGAAGAGGGACGAGCTCTTCTCCGCCTCTCTTACCCCCCTTCCCCCACCTCTCTCCCCCCAGCCATACGAGTTCTCACTTGGCGCCAAGCCGGGTGCGGAGAGGAAGTGGGGAACGAAGTCCATGCCACTCACCCTACTCACACGTATACATTCCTCCCCCCTCCCTTCCCCTCCCCCCCCAGCCGTACGAGTTCTCACTAGGCGCCAAGCCAGGGGCGGAGAGGAAGCGCGAGTATGCGGAGTCGGCCAACGGGCTCTTCTCCGCGCAGGCCGCCCCCAAACCGCCCCGCGCGCTCTACAGCGTTGTGCAGGGCATGCGCGAGGGGGGCAAGGTGAGAGAAGGGGGGTGAGGGGGGCAAGGTGAGGGAAGGGGGGTGAGGGAGAGAAGCACCCCGTGTCGCCCCCCTACTTTCAGGGACTTGGGCAAAACAATGCAGTACATGCGAGCCACACCTGCTTGGGCAAAACAATGCAGTACATGCGAGCCACACCCTGTGCATCCCTCCTGCTTTCATTGATCTTCTTGCATCCCCTCATCCTTGCATCACCTCTCTTCTCACCTCATCTCCTTGCATCCCCTCTTATTCTCTCACTCCCTCGCATCTGCTCTGTCTCCCCCACAGCGCACAGTGATTGTGCCTCCGGAGGAAGGTTACGGCGACAAAGGCTTCGCTGAAATCCCTGTGAGCTCCATCACCATGCCATGCGTGCCATGCCTTGCCATGATTTGCCATCCATACTAAATATCATACCACGTCATGTCAAAACATGCTGTGCCAAACCATGCCATGCCAAACCATGCAATGCCATGGCATAGTATGGCATACCACACCATGCCAAATCATGCCGTGCAAAAGCATGAGAGATGCCATGCCGTGCCATAAAATGCCATGCCATTCCACCCAATGCCATACCATGCCATGCCATACCATACCATACCACACCACACCACACCACACCACACCACACCACACCACACCACACCACACCACACCACACCACACCACACCATACCACACCACACCACACCACACCACACCATACCATACCATACCATACCATACCACACCATACCATACCATACCATACCATAACATACCATACCATACCATACCATACCATACCATACCATACCATACCATACCATACCATACCATACCATACCATACCATACCATACCATGCCATACCATACCATACCATACCATGACATAGTAAAACAAACCATTCTTTGGGCTTTTCTCCAAACGAACGGTACTGCCTGAACGGTTGAAAATTGTCTTTTTAGTAAACGCTATGCTGAAGAAAGTTCTTTGTTCGTTTCAGAGTGGAACTCTTTCGAACCGTACCGCTCATTTGGAAAATATCCCAAATGTTCCACGCCTTTATCATACCATGCCGTACCATACCATGCTGTGCCATACCATGCCCTGGCATCCATTCTATCGCGCGCCAGCATGTCATGGGTCCATGCTCATGCTCATGCCCATACCACCGTCACTGCTTCACCCTTACTCTCCTGCTCCCCACCCCACCCCACCCCTATGTGCCAGCCGGGTGCCACCATCCAGCTCACAGTGGAGCTGCTCGAGGTCAAGGCCCCTCCCTCATAGCCTCGCAGCCTTGCACCCTCATACCCCCCCACCCACATGGCGTGTGCTGTTGTGTTTTTTAGAACAAAAAAATGCTAGCGGTGACACATCTGAGTTATTACAGTAGCTTCCAGCAGAGTGTAGTATAGTCGTATGTGGATGTTTGTGACGGTGTCACCAGCATCACCTTGAGATATGAGGTGTCCAAAACGTAAGTGAAACGACCGTTTTTGGTTGGATAAAATACAGTTTGGTATGTATTCATAGTGAAACAACCATAGTGTATGCAGTAAGTATGCTACCTATTATTGTACAGTTCAAGTTCCTAATAACGCACTAACCGTTTGCGATGTTACAAGTTCCTCAAGCGTAACATCGAAATCCGCGTGACTTGTAATCGAAACGCACCGCGCTATGGACGGAAACATCGATCGCGACTGAACAGTTGAAACGGCGCTCGCAGAAACAGACACGGCTGTTCAGCATGACGCCATGGCGTCGCCGCACACACTGCCAGCTCACACCTCCTCGCCGCGAGCCGCACTCCGATCGAATGCTCCATCGCTCTCATCTCCCGATGCGCCTCGGCTGCCTCCGCGCTTTGCTTCTCGCGCTTCTTCTCCTCCACCCCTCGCCGATCCGTCACATCAGCCCGCCACATGATACGTGCGCGCGCGCGTCACGCGGGTACGGCGTGGCGCGGGTGGGCGCGCTGATTCGCGAGCGGCCGCGGAAGCACCCCGAGATGGAGGACGCTTTCCGACAGCGCGTACGTGGGGGATGGTGATTGGCGGGTGGTGATTGGCGGGTGGTGATTGGCGGGTGGTTATTGGCGGGTGGTGAAAGGTGGATGTGATGGTCCTGTGGCAAGGCAACGTGCATTGCCTCGCCGCACACCCTTCTACCACCCACACCCGCTCCCCTCCAACCCCTTTCCCCCGTCCTTCCCGTCCTCCCCGCTCGCCTTCCCTACTTCACCGATGGGAATTCACGCGTCGTCCCGCGCGCAGTCGCCCTCGTGCGCCTTTTGAGTTGACTTCAAACAACCCCTCACAGCGCTCGCCCCTCCCCCTTCCCCAACCTTTTCATTCCGTTGACCCCCTCTGTTTCTCCCCTTCACCCGTCCCTCTTCTCCTCTCCCCTGCCTTCTCATCCACCACGCCCCTCCCTTGTCGCCCCCACCTCCCTTGTCGCCCCCACCCCCCTTGTCGCCCCCACCTGGCACCTCCTCCCACAAGAAGCCCGTTCATCCGTGCATGCCCCGTCCCCCCACCACCTACCCTCCTCCCTCCGCCCAACCCCCCAAACTCGCTCCTTTTGGTAGAGCCATCACAACTTCTTTACTCCCGTAATTTCTCACTCCCTCACTCCTTCACTCCTTCACTCCCTAACTCCCTCACTTCTCTCGCCCTCACTCCTTCACTCCTTCACTCCTTCACTCCTCAATCTCTCACTTCCTCAATCTCTCACTCGTTCACTCCACTCCTCAATCTCTCTCTCTCTCTCTCACTCCCTCACTCCTTCATTCCTTTACTCCGCAATCTCTCACTCTCTTTCTCCCTCAATACCTCACTCCCTCACTCCTTCACTCCTCAATCTCTCACTCCCGCACTTCCTCACTCCCCTCAATGCCTCACTCCCTCACTCTTCGCGCCATCACCTTCAACATCCCACTGCGCTGCTCTCTCACCTCTCCTTGTGGTTTTCAATCCCCGCACTCCTGGCTGCCGCGATTTGAGAAGCACGCTGACATGGCACCTCTGAGGCCACCGCTTGGATCTGATTTGCAGGCGCTGGAAAGTGCACGGCACTGCATGCCATCATGCCAACCCCCCATGCACTCCTCCTTTTCATCATCACTTTCGTGTTGTTTTCCCACTCCCCATACTTTCGTGGCATCTCTCCTGCTCACCTCCCCTGCTCACCTCCACTGCTCAGGTTGAGGATCTGCTGGCGTCATTTGATAGCAGCGCTGACGTGGCGGCGCTGAGTCAGCAGCGCACGGGGTGCTCGTGCTACCACATCCGCAACAACTACTGCTGCTCGCAGAACCTCTGCCTTTGCTCGCCCATGTGCTGGAACGGGCAAGAGGTGGGTGCAGCCCCATGTGCTGGAACGGGCAAGAGGTGGGTTGGGTGGAACCTCTGCTTCATGTGCTTCTTGTGCTTCTTGGGCGAGAGTGAGCCCATGTGCTGGAACGGGCAAGAGGTGGGTTGGGTGTTTTGCAAGAGGATTGCAACCCACATGTATCTGGATGGCCTCTCCCATCCATATCCTCAAAAACGTCATGTCTCTGCCTCTTCTCGCCCGTGTGCGCCATTCCTTCATGCTGCTCCGCTCCCTCTCTCCAATTCGCCCTGCACACACAACGGCAGATGATCTCGCTGGGGCAGCCACAGTGCGAGGCAGCGAGGGAGCACGCCCCGCCGCCACCCAACGAGGGCAAGCCCATCCTGCGGGCGGTGGGGTGCCACAAGGCGGTGGAGTTCAGCGAGGCGCTGCGCGTGGTCACAGACGAGGCCGTCAACTCGCTCGTGCACCTCCGGGCTGCTGAAGGAGGCGGGGGAGGAGGGGGGGAAGGAGGGGGGGAAGAGGGGGGAGAGGGGGCGGTGGAGGGGAAGGGGTGGCTGGAGACGCGGCGGCGAGTGGAGTGGCGGTTTGGGCTGACGCTGTTGCAGCGGTTTGACTACCAGGCCGTGAACGTGGCGCACTTCATAGGTGCGTGGCTTCTGTGTGGATTATGCCCGCCCATGATGCCCGCCCATGATGCCCGCCCATGATGCCCGCCCATGATGCCCGCCCATGATGCCCGCCCATGATGCCCGCCCATGATGCCCGCCCATGATGCCCGCCCATGATGCTCGCCCATGATGCCCGCCCATCATGATTCCCATCATCTCCTTACAGTTTCCTCTCCCCCTTTCACCCTCTCTCGCCTCTCCGTCACCGCCCTCGGCCTGTTCTCTCTTCCTGCACAACTTCTGCGGCAGCCCCTCACCTTCTGTCCCCCACACACTGTCCACACATTTCTGCCATACACTTTGGTGCGCGCCCTTTCCCACACACTCTTTCCTCCATGCTGTCTTCCCATGCTCTCTTTCAAGCGCTTATTCTTTGTGTATCTAGCCAGCCCCCCCAACCTCTCCTCCCCGCTCCTCTCCTCTCCTCTCCTCTCCTCTCCTCTCCACCCCCCGCCCACCAGGCAAGGCGTTCACTCTCCTGCTGGCCACCAACGTCACGGACACACCAGTGCTGCCAGCAGCGCTCTGTTTGTTTCTACACTCCCAACCCCCTCTTTCTTCCACCTCTCCCCCTGCCCCACCAGGCAAGGCGTTCACGCTGCTGCTGGCCAACAACTTCACGGACCCGCCCGTGCTGCACCCCCTCGTGGCGCGCTTCATGCTGCCGCGCGACGACTTCACGCTCGAACGGTACGCTACCCTGCACGGCACCCGCACAGTGATATCCAGTGTGCACTGCATATCAGTGCTGCACTCGATCGAGTCCGCACCGGCACACGGTCCACCCATCGGGGAATGGTGATGCGTGAATCATGTGAGGATTGGGATGATGCCCAAGTGCTGCACGAGCCGCCTTGGAAGGAGTGTACTATGTAGAGCTAGATAGAGTGATGCCAGAGTGTTGATCAGAGTGCTGCCAGAGTGTTGATCAGAGTGCAATAGCACTGCCAACGAGTTCATTTGAGCCACCGCTGCTTCTGCACTATCCATCCACCTTCTCCTCATTCCACCTTATTCCGTTCTGCCCCCTCACCCTGCAACACGGCAGGTGGCGCATGGGGGGCGGCTACGCCATCCACGCGTTGGTGCTACAGGCGCTCATAGAGTTTGCCCTCACGCCTCTCCTCACGCCACAGATGCACACCTCCTCTCAGCTGTACGTGCTCTTCTTCTGCTTGCCCTCATCTCAGCCCTTTGCTAAATCGCTCACCTATCTCGCACCACGGATGTACATCCCGCCACCTCCCACTTCTCCCTCTCCTCTTCTCATACGTGTTTCCCAAAGCGTACGCACTGTCTCAGAGTATGCTCAATGGCAGCTTCTGTTTCGAGCAGTGCGAAGTTGTGTTGTTGCCTTTCCCACCTCCCTGCCTGCCTCTTCTCCGCTCTGCTCTGCATCAATACATCACACAGATTTTCTCTCCCTTCGTACACCTCCACACTCTTCCTCTTCCCCTCTCAGCACCTTCGGTTTTTTTTTTTTTCTCCCTTAAGCAAGAACCTCCAACTTTTACCCAAACTACTCATGCACCTGAAAAGCACAGCGCAACGCTGTCAAGTAGGAAAGTGACTAGCAAGGTTGGTACCTTGCTACATTAGACGGGCCATTCTTCCCAGTGCGGTGCACCCGCCATTTCATCCAGCTAGCGGAATACGGGCCCAACACGTCAGGGCCGCTAATTCGTGTGTTTCGCCGCTTCTCACCGCCGTCCTCACAAGACACAGCTCCATCATATCCCACAACCGTGCATGGTGCTTGCAAGCCTTCGAAGCTGCCGGAATCGACCACACCCACCTTGGCACCCACTCCTTCCGCAAAGGAGCAGCTACAGTCGCTGCCAGTGCAGGCGTCCCTGATCGCATTTTCGAACTTGGGCGTTGGCGAAGCGAGACGGCGAAGGACCTTTACGTGACCATCTCGCACGACCACCTTATCGCAGCATCTCGAAGCCTCCAAGATGAAGATCACGCTCCATCCCCCTCGCAGCATCATCGCGCCCTCACGAGGCACCGCCAAGCGCCCCTCTCCATGTCTCAGAAGACCCAGTTGCAAATCGCATGCTTTCACAATATATAAATATTGAAAGTGTGTAACATTTTCCAAAATTGTGTATTGTGCAAAGCGAAGCGAATTGTACCGAAGAAAAGACTTCAGCGAAACGTTAGTCCCCCTCTTTTCAGTAAAAAAGAGGGGACGAAGGCCATTTGGCCTTCACCCACGTTTTCATTTTCGAACTTTCGATTTTGAAGTTCCCAGCCCCCCCACCCTAGAATGTGATGTGATTCACTTCTTATGATGTAAACTTCTTGGAAGATAAATCTTGTACTTGACCAGTTGAAATGAGACTTTGCGTGTGCGGGTGAGAGTGAGGGTGAGAGCTGGGTGAGAGTGTGGGTGGAAGTGATGTGGAGAGTGGCAGTTGCAGTTGCACCAAGGGCACAAGCGCGGTGAGAGGACGGCCAGGCGCGCAGAGGTCAGGTGGGATTGAGAATGAGAATGGGGCGGTGAGGTTGAAGGTGGGCAGGAGTGGTGAAGTGCCAATGGGAGCGGAGAGGCGGCAACCTCTGGCACGCCGCACTGCCCAGTGATGCGCTGCAGCAGGTGCAGTGACAGGAGGGGATTGACACACTATGCTCCACTTCTCTACCGAACACTGCCCTGTCCTGGCTCATTACCATATATCCGTTGTTGATCTACTCCAGAGCTAACTTTTAAGCTCCTTTATATTCTGCTTCAGTTTGAGCCTGTACGTTTTACCGTAGTACTGCTTTGGTGGAGACTGGATTTATGATACCTGCCCCTTAACCAAGAGAATGGGAGCCGCCAAAGAAGTACTACGGTAAAACGTACAGGATAAAACTGAAGCAGAATATAAAGGAGCTCAAAAGTTAGCTCTGGAGTAGATCAACAACAGATATACGGTAATGAGCCAGGACAGGGCAGTGTTCGGTAGAGAAGTGGAGCACAGTGTGTCAATCCCCTCCTGTCAATTTCCCTAGCTATCCAGTCTACCTCGCCTACAAAAACGGAGTAACTCAGCTTCAAGTGTTTTGCAATTGATGGCAAAATCTCTTACTTGAGACACTGGCTTTAAGTGAATTTCGCCGCATTGCCCTGGCTTCTGGCCTGCTTTCAGACCTGCCCGTTTTTGGGTTTCCAGAGCTTCCATAAAGCCTTCCTCCCCTCCCAATCCTCTCACCCCACAGCCCCCACTACCCTCGTTTCCACCCTGTCCTCCCCACCACCCCCACCACCCCCACCAACCCCACGGCCCCCTGGCAAGGCAGGCACGAGCACCGCACGCTGGGAGACGAGGCGATGGCGAACGGGCTGGTGGAGTTTGAGGGCGCGTGGCGCCGCGCCACGGAGGAGGAGCCGCTGTGCTTCCAGCGGGTGCTGCTGCCGGGGATACTCAAGGTGAGCCCAACGTGCCCCAGGGCTTCAGGTGTCACTGGTGGATTCTCAGGTGTCCCAGGTTAACTCTCAGGTATTCTAGATTTGCTTTCATGTGAGTTGGAATCGGATATCGTCCTCCCTTTTTCCCTCCCTCCCTATCTTCCTCATTCTCTCCATGTCCCATCCTCACCTCCCAACTTCCATGCATGCACATGTCACTGCCGGCACTCCTCTGTGCACCGCGCTCACCCTTCTCTGTGCACCGCGCTCACCCTTCTCTGTGCACCGCGCTCACCCTTCTCTGGTTTCACCCTTCTCTGGTTTCACCCTTCTCTGGTTTCACCCTTCTCTGGTTTCACGTGGCTGTACACTGCGGCTGCGGCCCACATGACTGTCCACTTAGCACCGCACAGCACAGCGCAACACAGCACGTCACAGCATAGCCTTCATCGCTTGTTCAGCCAGCCTTCCCATGTGTTCTCCAAGTCGCACCAAGTCGCACCAAGTCGCATCAAGCGCAATCAAGCTTCCCCATGTGTTCACCTCCCCTCGCAGCAAGGCTAGTCCGAACCACCTCCCCTCTGCAGCTGAACTAGCCCTGCTGCAGCGCCACCTGCGCAAACAGCTGTGTGTGGAGCCTCCTGCTGGGGCACGTGCGGGCTCATTCAGAATACGTGTGCCGCCCTCCCTCCCTGCACGCCCAAGCACCCTCTCCTCCCTGCACGCCCAAGCACCCTCTCCTCCCTGCACGCCCAAGCACCCTCTCCTCCCTGCACGCCCAAGCACCCTCTCCTCCCTGCACGCCCAAGCACCCTCTCCTCCCTGCACGCCCAAGCACCCTCTCCTCCCTGCACGCCCAAGCACCCTCTCCTCCCCGGTGCTGCCAGGCTACCAGCAGTGCCACGAGCACAGCAACCTCCCTCTCACGTGCCATCCCCCGTCCCTCCCAGCAACTTGAGCTTCAATCTCTTTGGGGTTCTATCGCCCTCCCTCTATTCTTCCCCACAGAGCCACCTCTGCACTGCAAGCTTTAGAATTGACTCAGAAGGCCCCTCTTCCCCTCCCCCCAACAGGGCCAGGTGTTCCCCTCCTCGCCCGCCCAGGCCGGCTACCTGCAGCGCCACCTGCGGGTGAAGCTGCGCCTGCAGCCGCCCCCCGCGGTGCTGTGGGGGCCGGAGGACGCGCAGGGGTGGCGGGCGCGCGTGCTGTACATCACCCGCCTGGGGGCGGAGCTCAGGCAGCGCCGCACGTTCGTGCCGGAGAGCCATGAGGCCCTGCTGCGAGTGATGGAGGAGATGAACATGGAGGTGCGACTTGTAATCCATTGCCTCATGCTTCATGACTCTTAACTCTCCTGGGGGAGCTCAGTCAGCACCCAGCCATGTGAGGCCCTGCTGCGACTGATGGCAGAGATGCACATGGAGGTGAGCGGGTGATGGGAGATCAACACGGGACAATGAGAATGGGCATGGCGTGTGGCATTGAGGGGGCATAGAGGGTGGAGTGCACATGTCTTATATGACGTGAGAGGTAGCACAGCCGAACAAAAATGGCGGTTCCTTGTGACCCGAGCCCCGGCGGAGCCAGCACTAGCCTTTCCTGTATCATCACCCTCCCACCTCTGCTGCTCATGTATGCAGTTCCACACAGACAGTGTCCATAATTCGCATGCATGCTTGTCCTCCCCAACACCCTCCCCTCACACCTGGGCCAGCTGACCTTCTGGCCTCTGCTTTTGATGCACGAACGGAATCCAGAAAATGTCCACACTCCCTTTCCTCCCACTCGCCTCCCACCTCCCCTCTCCTCCACCACCAGGTGAGCAGGGCGAAGCTGGGCCAGCTGACCTTCCAGCAGCACTTTCTGAGGCGTCTCACTAATATTTCTCTCCATGCGCACCCTCCGCCCTCCCCCATCCCCCTTCCCCACCTCCCCCATCCCCCCGTCCCCTAATCCCTCCCACCAGGTGAGCATGGCGGAGCTGAGCCAGTTGACCTTCAAGCAGCAGTTTGACGCCATCCAGTCGGCCGACATCATCCTCTCCCTGCGTCGCTAATGTATGGAATCCAGACAGTGTGCATCATCTGTTTGCTTGCTCATGCTCGCCCCCCCCCCCCCCCCCCCCCCTTCCCCCCACCAGGTGAGCATGGCGGAGCTGAGCCAGCTGACCTTCAAGCAGCAGTTTGACGCCATTCAGTCGGCCGACATCATCCTCTCCCTGCACGGCGCCGCCCTCGCCAACCCGCCGCTCTTTGCACGGCGCACCACGGCAGTGGTGGAGATCATGCCGTACCACGTGCTGCACGAGACCTACTACGCCATGGCTTTAAGTGCCGGCCTCCCCTACTTCATGAAGATGTGCCGCCGAGGAAGCTTCCAGGCAGGGGACCGCGCTGAGGTGGACGGGCTGAGCTTGTACGACTGCACGCACGGGCATCCCGAGTGCAAGGAGTATTTCACGCACCGGCGGCGGGTGGAGCTCACAGAGGAGGATTTGAGCGACCTGAGAGTGATTCTTAGCACGGCGAGGGAGGTGGTGGCGGCAGGGCGGGGGGGCATGGGGGAGGTGGTGCGGCCGGAGGAGCTGCCAGGGTGGGCGGAGCAGCGGTTTGGGGAGCGCTGTGTGGCGCGGGATGCTGGGCTGTTCTGCCGGAATGACTTTGTGCGGATAGTGGGCGGCACGGGGGATTTCACGTGTGTGTTTTCAAGGGATTGTGAAGGCCAGGAGCAGCCACAGTGATGGGCAACAAACTTGTGTCATGTCAGCTTGTTCCTATCGATGTGCGGACAACTGTACAAGCCTATGTGTCCTGTAACTGTAAGATGCCATTCTTTTTCATAAACACAGATCCACACTGCATGAGCAATACCTGTGTCCAGGGCCTAGAATTGGTTAGCGTGTCCTTAATTATCTAGGGGCAGGTTGGCGGAAAAGCGTCGACATTTTGCGTTTTCAAAGGCATAAAAACGGAGCATCGCATGCTTGTCAGTTGAGATATACCTTTTATCTATAGGCCACAAGCTCTGGTTGTGGAGTTCTTACATGAGTGGATTCCCAGGGTCGCTTTAGAATAAAAAACCATATTGTTGGAAACATATAGTTTGCGCTTCTGATGTGTCAAGCACTACAACGCAAGCGAAGCGAACCACAGCGAAGTAAGAGCGAGTCAACCAAAGCGGTTGACAGAAAGACAACTGCAAGAGGTTAAGTGAAGGTCAAAGGTCAGCGACCTTTGACTCGCCAAAAAGCAGCGCGACAGCAAGGACACATAACTGACTCGCTATTGAACAGTTGTTGGGCTGAGAAAAGCCCTTAGGATCGTTTTCAAGACTAAAGTCTCAGAGTAGTGATGTATTAGCGGAAGCGTATTGGTAAACCGATTGAACCACCTTGCACTGGTGTGTGAGAACAAGATAAGTTCATAATAATAAAGAGATGCAAGCTTTTATATGATTACAAGGAATACGAAAGGTTTAACTAACTGTAACTGCTGTTCTGGTTCGATACAGCGACGACTCGGATAACTGCTCTATCGAGTCAGCTATGTGTCCTTGCTGTCTCGCTACCTTCGGCGAGTCAAAGGTCGCTGACCTTTGACCTTCACTCAACCTCTTGCTGTTGTCTTTCTATCAACCGCTTTGGTTGACTCGCTGCTGTTTCACTTAAGTTCGCTTCGCTTTCGTTGTAGTACTCGACACATCAGAAGCGCGAACTATATGTTTCTAACACTCCCCTGTCGTCGCCTTCATTGTTGATGACGTGGCCTTGCCCAGTCAGCAGCATGCAGGTTTCGAACTTCTGCTTTCCGAATTTCTTGGTCAAGTAGTCTGCTACCATCTCAGACGTGGGACAGTAGGATAGCTCGAGTCTCCCTTTCTCGGTCTCGTCCTTCACGAAGAAATAGCGCAGGGCAATGTGCTTCGTTCGGTTCGCGAACCCACTCTTGTTCGCTATGCGAATTGCAGTTTGGTTGTCGCAGAAGAGGGAGAAGCTGGGTAACTGTGTCAGCTTTGCTTCTCTTTGCTTCTTCTAGTAGTTCGCGAAGGTACAGTCCTTCCTTGGTGGTTAAGCAGAGTGCTATGTATTCAGCTTCATCAGAGGAGAGAGAAATTAGTTCTTGCTTACTCAACTGCCACGAGATAGGACTGGCGGGCTCGAGTCGATAGATGTAGCCGGTGAGTGATCGCCTGTTATCAGAATCGCCTGCGTGGTCAGCATCCACGTAGCCATTTAGCTTTGGAGTAGTGGTTCCGGTCTTGTGGTAGGTTAGGCCGATCGTTGGTATGTTGACGAGGTAGTGTAAGGCGCGGTCGAGTTCGGAAATGTGCTCTGCTTCAGGCCGCTTGAGGTAGGTAGCAAGCTGACTTGCTGAATATGATAGGTCCGGTCGGCAGGTAACGGCTGCAAAGAGCAGGCAGCCCAGATTTTGTTGGTAGTCGCATAGTCCGGCAGGTCCGAGCAGGTTAGATTTTTCCTGGTGATTTCCGGCGGTGTAGCGATAGGGCGTAGAGATGACGGCTGGCGTTAATCCAAAGCGTTTGGCGATTGTGTCAGCGTATTTTGCAGCGCTGAGGTAGATCACGTTCTCTCCGTCGAGTATGTTGAATCCAAGGTACTGAGTCACGGTAGAAGAAACCGTGAGTGAGAGATCCTGTTGCAGCTCCCCTTCAAACAAGTTGGTGATGCCGTTGGTGGAGCCTATGCAGAGCAGGTCGTATACATACACGATCAGTAAGATGTACTCGTCTTCCTTCGTGAGTCGGTACATACCCTGGTCGTGTGGTAGTTGCCGAAAGCCGATGCGGATTAATCGGGCATGTAGGTACTCCTGCCACAGCCACGGAGCTTGCTTGATGCCGTACAGGGACTTTAGCAGCTGACAGACTTGATTAGGGTCTGTGTCGGATCTGTGTGGTTGCTCGACGAAGACCTCGGCGTCGACGGGAGCGTAAAGGAACGCGTTAGCCACGTCGATTTGGCGGAGCTTCTTCCGCTTCATGACGGCTATTACGAGAAGGATTCGCAGAGTGGTATGTCGGTTGACCGGCGCGAAGGTCTCGGTGAAATCTCGTTCGTGCTCTTGATCGAAGCCGCGCACGAACCATCGTGCCTCGAACTTGTCAATTGTTCCGTCAGCTTTTGTTTTTACACGTGAGACCCACTTTCCCGTGAGATAGTTTTGTTGCGTGCCACTCCGATGGGTACTATCTTCCAGGAGGTTCTGTCTTCCAGCGCCTTTAATTCCCTGTCCATGACTTCGCGCCATTTTTCCATGTGCTCCCCCCCCAGAGCCTGCTGAACTGTGGCAGGCTCCTTTGGCGGCGATGCTCTGTGGACGGCGATGACGAGTCCGAATATTTGCAGCCCACTCTGTGTGTAGCGAGGGAGATTTGGGTCCTCGGGATAGACTGCTTCGTCTCCCGATTCTGGATCAGGTAAGAAGTTGGGGCTTATGCGTTCCAAAACGTTGGTGTTGACCCGCTGGGGTGTAACTTAACCATTGTCGGCGAAGTCGTAGTAGACTTCGGCGTTGATGCTTTCGCGAGGATTTTCGTCGTCCATCGGAGCAGGTACTGAGCAGTAAGGAAGGGGTCCGGCTCCGTCCACGTTTTGCTCATCCCAATCAGCCTCATCTGCTGGTGTGGCGAAGGCTCGGTTGCCACGGAAGCCGCCCGTGAGGTCTCGTTCAGTTGCCAAGTTGTCCAGGTACGTTTGGAGAGTGAGTCACTCGTAGAAGATCACGTCACGTGCTGCTACTGTTTTCTTCGAGTGGACGTCGAAGATTTTCCACGCGTTGTAATGCTTCTCGATGCCCAGGTGTAGTCCCACTGAGCGCGTTTTGAGAATCGTCTGGCTCGTGCAGTGTGTGGTCGGTACTGTACCATGCAGCCAGAAACCCGTAACATTTTTGTGTTGCCCAATTTTCCTGTCCACAACAGATGCGGTGATGCGTTGTTCGGAAGCGAGGATGACGAAAGCAAGTTGTGCAACAGCACAACGTGGTCCATCGCCTCAGGCCACTGATGGTTGGGTAGCCGCATGCCACGTAGCAGCTTGCGCATGGTGTTCTGGAGGGTCCTGTTCATTCTTTCTGCCACACCTTGCTGCTGATGAGCGTAGGGAAGAGAGATGAGTCGCTTGATGCCCCTCTCCGCCACGTACTGCTTGAACCGTTGTAACTTATATTCTCCTCCCCCGTCTGGCTGGAAGCTTTTCAGCTTCACTCCTGATTCCCTTTCTGCTACTGGAAGCCATGCGACGAAGGCTTCGAAGGCCATGTCGCAACTCGGAAGATTGAGGTGGCAGACGTATCTGGTGGCGGCGTCGATGAAGGTGATGACATGGTTGTAGGCTCCTTGTCCGCTTTCGCGGGCGTACAGTATGTCGCTGTAAACCTTCTCTAGTGGTGCATAGGCTGGCGCACTTGGGTTGTGATGAGAGACAAACGGCTAATGGGGTAAGTCGGCTTCAGGGCAAGTAAAGCAGGTTCCGCGGACTCCTTGAAGTTCTCTGCCATCGGGTAAGAGGAGTGAGTCTTTATCGAGCTCTCCTGCTATTATCGTGTTGTTAAGTGTTCTGTTGCTAGGATGCCCTAACCTTTGATGCCATAATGATTCGTCAGCGCGATGTCCAGGTGAACGTCTGTACAGATCGGAGTTGGAGTAAAAACTGGCAGTGATGTTGGCGCTTCGGTGAACGTTGCGTGGGGCGGGAATCAGCTGTTGAGCGGGCGTTGGTGCTGGTGTCGTTGTCTCTGCTTCTGCCGATGTTGCCACTGCTTCTCCCGTTGTCGCTGCTGCTGTCTCTGCTGCTGCTGTCTTTGCTGCTGTTGTCTCTACTGTTTTCTCTTGGATCACCTCTAACGCCCTTGTTCGTTCTGCTTCAGGTATTGTGTGAGTACTAGAATCTTTCGGGGCTGAAGTTGGGGTCGAGATCTGGTGGGTGCGACCAAGTGGTGAAGTTAACAATCGCGTCGCTGTCAGAGGTGCCCTGATCCGGGACGAAATAAAAAATGAAGACGTTGTTATTTAGGACCGCTCTTCCGATGTAAAGTCCGCCCCTTCCGTTGTACAGTCTGAATTCCTGAATGGTGCTGTCGGCTTCAAGATGAATTCCTTTTGCCATGAGTTGGCTAACGCTGAGTAAGTTGTAGCCTAGTCCTTCTGCAATTACAACCTTTGACATTTGTAAGACGACGTTGGTCTCGCGGGACTGAAGTTGAACTACTCCTTGTCGTCGTGTGCGCAAGTTCTGGTTGTTGGCGACGATGATCACGACATCCTGGTTGAGGCGTTGTTCCTGTTGGACGAAGCGGTTTGATGAGCACATATGTTGTCCGCAGCAGCTGTCCAAGAACCAAGTATCTTGACCGGATGGTTCGCTCCGTGCGATGGCGGCGTACGTCGGGTTTGGTTCCAGCGATTCACGAAGGGGCGTGCTTTTGTCGAGCTGTTCTTTGGGTAAGTACGTCGGTGGTGAGCCGGTGATGCAGGATTCCGTTCTTGTCATAGAACTTATGATATTTCTTGTTCCTTGTGCAGGTTGTGATGTTGTTGTTGAAGACGACGCCTGGTTGGAAGGATGTAACTGCTTGAAGGTCGAAGTTGGCGTGGTGGTGGTGTTGATTGCAGTTGATCTGGGCAGTGAGCGAAAGAGTGCCCTGACGTTTTGCAGAGGTGATAGAACGGTGGTACGTATCTTCGTGCTTAGTGCTCATGTTGTCGGTTGTTGTTGTTGTT